CACACACACACACACACACACACACACACAAGCAGAATCACACGTGCGCACAATGAACTATTTCTGAGGCAGCGTGGTGGAATCAGGCTCTCGTCAATTTTTGGGCATGTAGAGTTATTGGTATCATCGTAAAGCTTGTTCACTTGTGTTTATTTGGATGAAAAAAATATCCGTTTATCTTGAATACAAGTCGAGATACTTGCGAATGAAGGAAGTGGGGGTCACCTGTTTTCAGAGATAAAATTAGTGAGAAAATGGCCGCCAAAGATTAGTTATTTCCTTAGCTTAAGATTCCGTGGTAACTGAAAATTTACCTTGTTGTGCGTTTAATCAACGTTTTTCAGAAACATCCACACAGAAATGAGTTCTTTAATGGGCATGAAAGGTGTTGAGCCAAATAAGAAAATTTGAGAAAAATTCACAAACATAAAGAAAAAAGCAAGTTTCTTCACTTTGGTTATTTTGACGAAAGCCTGATTCCACTACGCTGCCTCACATTTTAAGAAAATGGGAAGTGGGGAGTGGAGGACGAACTTTACCGGTACCTGCCGTGCCTAGCCGTGCCTATACTGATGGCAAATCGAAACATTTTTCTATCAAAGTGAGAAGAGCATCTCAGTATAAATTATCAGTGCAGATAAGCCGCAAAACTGTTGATAATGGTACCTTGTCAAGGTAAAGGGAGAAAAAAATACAGTAGAACCTGACCTAAAAACCACCTGTCCGAGACAATCACCTGTACCAACGACTTTTTTCTACTTCCCCTTGTCTTTTTTCCCCAACATTTTAAAGACACTGTCTAAGAGGATCATCTGTGGAAGGTGACCAATTTTCTCCTCGACAATGAAAAATGGTAAACGCCCCTGTCAACACTATTAGGTTATTTAAGAGGCGGGAACTCCGAGTTTAACGTCCATCTCCGAAAAGACCGAGCCAGGTGGGAAATTCGTGTAAAGTGCCTTTCCCAAGGACACAGCGTCGGACCGAGCTAAGGCTCAAAGCCCCGAACCCACAATCTCACGAGTACGAGTCCGGTAGCCTAATCGTCAATGATGGTTGGTCGCCTAGCTTGTACACGTTGGACAGTTAGGTAGTATTTATTATACTTTTTGTCTACATGTCACACGACACAGACATTACTAAAAGCCGTTGGAAGTCTGTGGATACGGCGCCATAATAATAATAATAATAATAA